GACCAGCTCCAAGGATTCCCTTCTCATTGGTTCTAGGAGGAACCTTTGAGGCTTTGGATTCCTTAGGTGAAAAGTTCACCTTAAGCTGAGACTTGGATTTCTGAGAGGGTTTAGATTTCCTAGTCCCTAAGGAAGAAGCTTTACAAAATGAAGGAATAGACCTTGATCTATTGAACTTGTTAGACTTCTTAGTAAGGGGTGCTGTGACAATGGATTTACCTTTGTCTTTGCAACCAGAACTCGAAGGAGTTCCTTCAAGATGACTCTCAGTAAAAAAAGACTGAGAGGAAGAAGTGTTAGGAATGGAAGAGACAAAGGTGCCAAACTTAAAAGGTCGCCTCAGTGCTTATTTTAAACACTGCGTGACTCTTCGTTTTCTTAAAAACCCTTCGTTTTTAAAAGAAAATAGTTAATGATCCGTCTTAATGACGACATTCTCTATATACTATGCACAACGTTTTGAGACGCGCAAAAAGGTACTGTCATACGCTACCTCATTTAATGTCATCCAATCATGGATGAGAACATGCCATTTTTCATCATGGCCCCTTTCCCCAACCGTCGTCTTTTCTCTCTCCTCATACTTATAAATATGAGACTTCTTCTCCTCTTTTCCCTTTACGCTTACAAATTTCAAAGACGAAACTCTGCAAGAATTTCTTAAGCAAGAACTCTCTCATTTTCTCAAGAACCTCTCGACCTTTTTCTCTCAAAATCATTAAGGTCAAATCCTTTCTTTTCTTTATCTTCTGTTAAAAATAAGTTTAATAATCCCAAGACACTTGTTCTCTTGAAATATTAAACAAAGACGATTATTTAACCAACTCTTACTTGGTTATAATCAAATTTCTTTAAACACATTCTACTTGAAAAACCCTAATCCTTCTTTAAGGATTTTTTAAAAGAAGTTTTTATTGGTTCAAAAACTTACCTATATTCCTCTCCATAACAAATCTTGGTTTTACTAAGGCATGTTTTATCTTATTTTTACTAAAAACAGATGGCTGCTAAGAACGTTAGTTTCTCTCTCAATGGGGTATCCTTCAAGGCCAACAACCACATTGCCTTGTTGGACATTCTCTCATCCAAGGCAGACTACCAAGAGGCGGCTGACTTTCTCAAACAGTCGTCTCTAGGCTTCGCTCTCAACCATGAACCTATCATGGTCAAGGAACTTCTCCAGCAGTTCTGGTTTACTGCTGAGGTCGTGGATGTCGAGGTCAAGCAAGGCCGACAAGTTGAACAAGTCAACTTCACCTTCAACCGCATGGAAGTGAAGTTTGGCGTGAACACATTAAGGACGACTCTTCGCCTTCCCAAAGGCCCCTACGACAGCGAACCCATGATGACCGAGATCATCGAGTGTCTCGATGCCATTGGCTATCAATGGCCAATGAAGGACTCAAATTCTCCCATGAAGTCCTTATCGAAGATTGAGAAGAACAGGATGTCAGCGATCTGGCAATACTTGTTCTCTCACTTCATCCAGTCAATGGGTGGAAAGACTGGAGGTCAGGACCAGGCCTCTAGGATCGCCTTGACAATTGGCATTTCTGCGATTCAGCGTCGCAATATAAATTATGTTGCAGTCATTTTCGATGACCAGGTGCAAAAGCTAAACAAGCGCCATCGAGAAAAGGTGGTGCCTTACACCAGGTTTTTTCGATGGTCTTTGCTAAGATCTTTGAAGATAAATACTCCACGGAAGGTAACCTCTAGGTTTCCAAGCTTGGATCCAGGATTCTAGATCATAAGCTGAGGGAAAGTGATGTGACACTCTCTTCTATAGTGTCCTTCACTACCTCCTCTCCTCAGGTGGCCAGGACAAGGGTAAACCCCCCGCGTCTAGCCGAGCCACCAAAACCTCCTCCAAGCGACCTTCTCAACCAACTCTTGGTTCTCCTCAGAGAGCCAAGAAGGCCAAAAAGGGGATAGCCACGTCTTTGGCTGAAACTTCTCGACAGGTTTCAGCTATTGAAACTAGCCTTAACCCTGAGGCACTTTTAGCCAACCCTCTTAGCTCTTCAGTGATTCCTCCCATCACTGTCGTATCAGTGGCACCTACCCCAACCGCCTCAGTGACCCAAATCACTGAAGGTGTGGATATCAGCGCTGCCACCGCTAAACACCCACATCTCTTCTCAACCATTTTCTCTTCTCCTCCTTCTTTGGTCTTTACACGTGTTGATGATGTATCAGCGACTGTCCTCCCTGATACTGAAACACACACCACTGGACTTGAGGTTGCTCCTCTCGATGCTCCTCAGCATACAGATGTCCATCCTCTCGAGGACATCTTTGCTCACGCCAGCGACAATCCTTTGGATGTCATTGATGGCCCCTCAGGTATTCCATCCTCCTACCCTTTCATTTATACTAACCTTGAGCCTCTTGTTGCTCACCCTTCCTCTATTGCAGGTCCTTCTTCTATGCATCAGCCAGATGCCGAAAAAGAGGAGGAAGAAGATGGGGAAGAGAAGGAAGAAGACAACAAGGATGAAGAGATTGATGATGACTATGACATGGCATCTCATGTCAAACTCCTCCTCCCAGCCGTTGATTCAGTTTTCTGCAGGATGACTGAAGTTCACCGAGAGATGTCCCGCAAGGCTGACCTTGATGCGGACCTCTCAGCCCTCAAAGCAGACGCTCAAGAAGTTCAGAGTCACCTCTTGACTCTCCAAGACGCTGTTCGAGCCAACACAACGCTGCTGGACCATCTAATGCTGCTGCTGCTGCTGCTGCTCCTGCTCCTGCTTCAGCATTCTCTGCAGATGAAGCTGAAGCTGTTACTGCTCCTTTAATCACGACCACCAAAGCTGTTTCAGCTGAGGCAGTCGGATGCCATCCCAAGGGATGATGCTCTTCCGATCACCACTGCTGCTGGTGATGATGATGATGATGATGATGAAGACGAAGACGAAGACGATGATGATGAAGATGACGAACCTGCTACCCCAGACCCCGAAAGTGACCTAGATAGTGATGATGACGATGATGATGATGATGACTTTACCATCAAATATCAAAAGCCAACAACCGCCACCAAGGGAGTCGCCCTCAGGGATTTTGCATCCTAGGGGGAGCAAAGGGAAGGAGAGTCCGCTCCATCAAAGAACCAGGACCACAAGTCGAAAGGCAAAGCGGTCGTTGAAGAAGGGAATCTGAAAGTACTTTTCAATATCTCTCAACCCTTGTTTGAAGACTCTGCCTCTCAGGTAGTAATCACTTCACTCTATCAACTTCAAATTCCATCAACTACCTGCGGTCGACTGCAGTGGGTCCCTGAAAACCCTATCTCCAGTGCTCCCATCGACCAGCAGATGGCTCAGCTAAAGGAGTCACTCGACCAGACTAAAGTAAAAATCCCTCTTCATACCTCTAGTGGTGGTGAGTTTGACTTCTTTTCAGAAGCTGAAAGACTCAAGGCATTAAGAGCTGAAGAAGAGCTAGAGCTTCAGAGGAAGCAGACTAAAGACAGCTTAAAGCTGGCCAAGTCACTAGCTGAGAAGATTCTCCCCAAGAGAAAGTCCAAGAAGAAGGTGAACGTTGTCCAAGCCCAGGCTAAACTTCTTTCCATTACAGTTGATCATCTCTCTCAGTGATTTGATGATAATTCATTTTTACTTGTACGTTGTATTTATGTTTCTGTCTTTTCAGTTCCAACGATCATCACTGAGCCTGTTCAGTGATCGCTGAAGATCTTGTATTGTAATTCAATCAGAGACAACGATACTTCAAGAAGACAACACTCACACCAAAGAATCTTCAGCCAAAGTCGAAGACTGAAGCTAAAGATTAGAGACTGGCGAGTACGTGATCTGAAGCGGTACTCAGTGATTACAAGCCTGTGTACATATGTGTGAAGACTGCTCAAGTCTCAGCAAATACTGAAGAGACCTCCTGGTTATTCCAGCATTCAACGATCAAACAAAGCTTGACAAGCACGATTGTTGTTGTCTTGTCCTTATGCACACAAAGGACAATCCCATACCCTTTCTAAATGTTGGTACGGTACGGAGCCGACTAGTTGACTCTATTGCCCACCAACTTTAGGTAAGGATGTCTACTCATGAATAGTCTTTTTTGTACCATTCACTGTAGCAAAGGACAAACCTTCCTCTTAAGGCTTGACACGCACTCTAACCCTACAATATTGCATTAAATGAGCATTTAATACAATGGGTATAAATAGAAGTATTTTTTCTCCATGCAGAGTGCGCGCAACTCACTCTCATAACCTAATTCTTACTTTGAGCATTCTCTAGCTTAAGTAAAAGAACTTTTCTTTACAACATTTCTTTTCTCATTTGCTAAGAATTTGTGTGTAACCAAAGATTGTTTATATATGTTTTCTTACCTTATCTTTCCGCAAACAGTCTTGTAAAATTTGTATTGATCTTCTCTATCAATATACATTATAAATTTGAAAATATTGTATTTGTATTCACCCCCCTCTCCTTCTACAAATTGTTTTACTTATCTTGTAGACCCTCAAGAGACCAACATTAGGAATAACCTCATCTAATTAAAGTTTTTTAATTCAACCAATACTGAATTTTAGGCTCAAACTTGAATTTACCGTGTACTTCTAATTTGGATGGAAAATGGAAGTTTATGTATTCAATAATTGACAATCTAGATTACCCCTTAAGCACATAAATAATAAACCCAAGCTACACAGGCCTCAAAAAGATGATGGACCAAATATAAAAATTCAAACTTAAGACGAAAAGGTTAGATAAAAATACAAAAATATCCCAAAACATGTTTAAATAATGTATTTTGACCTCAAAAAATCCCATTGGCCTCTTTGGATTTCGTCGAGTGCATGCTTCTAGTTCCAAGCTTCAAATTAATATATCATAGCATGAAACGAATTACTTGTATCAAAAGTTATACACGTTCAAGTGCAACACCACCTGTCAGCATTAAACAGATTACATTATTACCTCTTTGAGTAATAATGTAATATGCTACTCGTTTAATTAAGAATGGGAGTTTCTTTATTCATTAGTAATATTTAATTTTATACATTTAAAAAACCTCAACCAAATCATAAAAAGAAAAGAAAAGATGTAGAACATACATACATACATACATACATAGTAGCAACTGTATGTAGAGTTTTAACTTCTAAAGATGTACAGATTTTAGTTGTTCTGACAGTCATTTCTGGGAATTGAACAGACTCTTGTTTATCCTCTTATCTGCTTCATTATGAATACCATCAACTTCACATACTATTCAACTAATATTCATCAATGAATTTACTCCCTTCTTATCTCAAAATATCTGCAATTCTTTCTGAAAGACAATAAGCAGTTGATTGAATGGTGATCATGGGGTTCACTCCAACTGCAGTTGGTAGAATACTAGCATCACAAACATAAAGTCCTTCTGCTTCCCAACTCTCCCCATTCTCATCCACACCACCTTCCTTTTCATTTTTCCCCATTCTGCAACTCCCCATTTGATGAGCCGAACAATATATATTCCAATCTTTCACCATCGACATCGGTCCATCTGCAGCATGTACCGTCTCCAAGAATTCCTCTATCTCCTTTCCATTAATCCCTTTGCATTCCATCCTCTGCCCATCGCTCCTATGTGTACCCACCTCCACTGCTCCAGCTGCAATCAGTATCCTTAATGCCTCCCGTAAACCTTTCTTAAGATTTTCTTTATCTAATTCGCTAATCCTATAACTTATCCTTCCTTCTGTTTTCACTTCTCCAGATCCACTGTCCTTGACCAATGAGAACACATGAGCTGTTCGCGAGTATTTGAGCATTCGTTCCTTGAAATCTTGCCCATTTTCCCAAGGACATAATGCAGCAAAAGCTCCAGGTCCTAGTGCTGGGACTTCCAGGATGTAGTCTGAATCTGATCCTGATTTATGAACTGATGTCAGTATCCCCCCTTCATAGTTTTTGCCATTCAGATCTGAATCATTCTCTGGGAAGTATCCCCATGCCATTAGAACTGGATGGAGATGGAGATTTCTGCCAATATTTGGGTTTCTAAGTCCACTAGATATCATTAGAGGTGGTGTCAGGAGAGACCCACATGCAGAAATGGTCACTTTAGCTTCAATGTGCAGTTTCTTGGAGATCTTTCGGTTTAAAACTTGAGCAATTACTCCTAAGCATTTCTGTCTTCTTTTCTTACCTTTCTGGTTCGTTACGAGTAGAAATTTCTGGGCTTTACATCCGGTAATGATCACTGCACCATGGTCCACTGCATCGACCAACCAAGTTGAATCGGTTCCCTTTTTGTCTCCTGATCGACAGCCATAACAACATGAACCGCAGTAATGGTTTTCCGATGAGTTTTGTGGGACGGCTTCCACTTTTAGACCAAGATTCTCGCACCCTTTTCGGAGGACTTGGTTCTGGAAGCCTTCTTTTACACACTTTTCAGTAACCCCGATTCTTTCACACACTTTGGTCATTGCAGAACTGTACTCATGGCTCGAATACAACTTCAGGTCTTGGTCTTCTGACCATTCTCGTAGCAACGAGGGTGGTGTCTTGATGCAAGCTGACCAATTGACCGCTGAGCCACCTCCAACTGTGGATCCTGCCTGGATCATTACTTTGGCATCAAGCGTAGGAAGTATGCCTCCGGATTCATAGAGTTGATCCAACGATGGTCCTTCTAATTGAGAATAGTCTGTCTGACTAAAATAGTTCCCTTTTTCAAGAACCACCACTTTCTGGCCGGATTTTGCGAGTATGGCGGCTGCAACACCACCACCACAACCAGAACCAACTATTACAACATCGCATTTAATCTTGCAAATGTTCTCTTTAAGATTCTCCTTCACATCCAGGCCTTTCTGAAGCAGAGACTGCACGAGGGTCTGATCGCTTTCGTTCATGACTTCTACCATTGATTTCTGCAAAGGCCGTTCCTTTCTATCAAGGATGTGGTCTTCATTCATGTCTACATGGTAATCGATGGCTTCCCATGCAGGATTATCTCCTTCCTCACCAACCTGTTGGGAATTTTCATAAATTACATGTCAGCCAAAAATTCCTCAATCGACTATGTGTGTGTGTGTATATATATATATATATATATATATATATACATATACATATCCCACTGGCAGAGAAAAAAAGAGAGAGGTTAGGAGGGGAAGTCGCTAGAGATAACTCAGCCATTGATCTAATTATATGACAAAACTCGTGCTGGAAACTGTTTGTTTTTGCTTGGTTTCTGTTAGAGGGATTACTGCAAAATATATATATATATATATATATATATATATATGTATATATGACTAATTATATGTCATGGTATGCCCTTTTGTTTTTTGGCGTTTTCTTATAACAAAAATGAGGCTGACGGCGATAGAATTAAGAATAGAAACAACTTGGGTGCCTCTTTAATGTCCAAATTATTGATATTGACCGATCAAACATACATCTTTCTTGCTTGAGAATTCAGCAAAGACTCGAGGAATTGAGCCTTTCAAATAGAATTAAAATTAAAGGAATAAATGACCTGAGTGAAGAAGGCTAAAAGACAGAGAGTCTTGATGAACACAAATCCGAGTCTGATGGGTGTCATGAAGCTATGCTTCAACCATTTCTGCACAACTTTCTCTCTTTTATGCAGAGGGATGGCTGAGAAGCTGTTTACGAATGGCCATTTGCCAGAAAGACAAAGAGAGCCAGAAAGAAAAAGGGTACCAAGCCTGGTTGAAAGAAGTATAAGGACCAATTTCACCACCAAAACTGCTTCTAGAAATCCCCTTTTCAGCACAAGATCAACTATCTGCATTCAACAATCAATTCGTCTTAATTAGTTCAGATAAACAATCAAGAATCATAAGTGGAAGGAGCGTGTTTGACCTTATTGGGAACTGGGTATTGAGAATTGGAATTGGAATTGAAAGGGATTGGTGGCAGGATGACTTCACAGATGCTGGACAGAGTTTCAATATCAGATGAAGAAAAGCATCCATTGTTGTTGTTGTTGTTGTCTCCATCTGAATCCCTCTTACCTCTTAACAGAGGGTGGCAATCTCTCCCATTCTCATCATACATATCTCAATCTCTCTGAATGGAATCGAATGAATTAGAATAGCGGTTGATTGATTTGTTGGGTGTGTAGGCTTGGTACGAGACATACATACATATATATATATACATACATACATATATAGGGAAGGGTTCAAACGAGAACCCCTGTGATTTACGAGAATGCGAGAACAACCCAATAACCACATATTGTGATAAAAAATAAAATTAAAAGATTTTTAAAACTAAAATTGAAATTTAAAAAGATTCAGAAAATATTAAAATTAAAAGGGTAATAATGGAAATGATATCATAAAATATTTTAAACGATTACACGATCATGATTATCATTATCTAATAAACGGTTAATCATGTGATATGGGTGTGATAATCATGTGATTATCACA